TGCCACATGAGGAAACAGATGATCTCACTGAGTACACAGATCATAGGAGAAAAGCCACAGACAGTTAGTGGTCCCCTGTGGGTCATTGTTCATCTCCGAGTCGAGCTAGCACTCGTGACGGTGTCTCATGCCATCCGGAGAGTGATTTACGCAGCCAGGCTTCGGGTTATGGGATTACAGCACTGGGGACAGCTGGGAGGGAGAGGGGGGGTCCAAGTGGTTGTTACCCCTGTCACTCTTCCTTCACATCAACCTCAGGCCCACCTCACTTGGGAGAGGTGGCAGTTTCTATTATAGCTTCCAGGTGGTCCTAAAGCATAAGGGTAGTTGGGGCGGAGGAGAATGGAGAGGGAGAGTTTTGGTTGATCTTTAAGCCAAACAGTACACAGCTCAGTTACCTCATTTCACTATCTGTGTGCTCAGACATTTCTAATGGGCTGGCTTATCTTTGCTTTTGCAGCCTGAATGCTGGGGCAGGGAAGAAGGAAATTAAAAGCAAATACATTTAATTTTAAAATGTTTTCTTGAGTTCCAACAATGAAGTTCATTTGAAAATCTTTTAGAAGATGATTAAAGTTAGAATTGTGAACTCAATCAGAAATATTCTTATTGAACTAAAAATGACGCTATTAATTCAAGTGATAACAATTGTTTGTGCTGGGTGTTCCCTGTATGTACATAACCCAAGTGTGCTGATTCGTTTTCGAGCTGGTGGTTTGTTGGAGTCTTTCTGACTCATCAGATCTAGATAGAGTCAAACCTCATTCCCGGGATCAGGGATTGTATAAGCCTTTAGCAAGAGCTCAGTGACTCACTGAGGGGCTTATCTGTCTCCTTCTTCCTTCTGGTTCTAAATCACACTCTGGCCCCACTGTGCCTATAACAGTGCTTATATTTAATCTCCACAGAACCGCTTCCCAAAGGCATTCGGCTGTAGACCCACTTTACTGAAGACTTGAGGGCTCAAGAGAGGAATTTACAACATAGTTAAAGCTGGATACTGGCAAAAATCCTGGGCAGCCCTGGCTGGTGTGGCTCAGTTGACTGAGTGTTGTCCCATGCATAGAGGGGTCGAGCCTTTAGTTTCCAGTCAGGGCACATCCTCAGATTTGGGGTTCAATCCCCAGTCAATGTGTGTACAAGGGGCAGTCAATCCATATTTCTCATATCTGTGTTTCTCTCTCCCTCTCCCTTTCTTTCTCTCTCAAATTAAAAAATAAAATAAAATAAGAAATTAAGTCCTGGGCAATGCTGGAACTGACCTGGAACCTCCCACGTTTCCATTGACACCTCTTCTCTTTTTTTCCTTTGTCCCTTTCAGGGATTATTCTCTCTTTATTCTGTTCCCTCCCTCTCAGAGTATAAAATCAATCTGTCCCAATGTTTTTTTATTTATTTTTAAACTTAATTTTTAATGCAACACAGTTAAGCTGTTACGAGCTCCAAGAGGCTTGGTGTTTCCACTTCAAGGAATTCATCTAATTAGAACTGATCCCTTGGGAAGTCCCTTCTGCCTAAACTCTTAGACAATGGCAGTCCTTCCCCGTCATCTCTGTCTGGAGGCCAGCATGGCTGTGGGAGAGCAGTGTGTTCTGGGTACCACATGCAAAGGAAAAGGGAAAACCATGGCTTGAGTCCTATCAGGTTTTGAATCCTGACTTCTCCACTTCCTGGCTGTGTCACCTAGGGTGAGTTACTTAACTTTACTGAGCATGTTTTCTTACCACCGAAGTGGGAAATAATTTTACTTTTTTGCAAGTTGTAGAAAGGAGAACATTGAATAACACACAAATAGTGCAAAGGATAAAATGAAATCACACTCCTATAGTCCCTGGCTCCATGTAAGCACTCAACAAATGTTAGTTTCTTTTCCTTTCAATTGATACTTTTCTTAAAGTATTTATAAACTAGGGGCCCAGTGCACAAATTCGTGCACCTTGAAAGGAACTGGTGATAAGGCACAACTTTCTTTTTTGGTGCCACATGAGGAAACAGATGATCCTCAGGAGGCTGCAGTGGGCCCATCCTCCGTGCCTTCACTTTGCCCCTCCCTTTGAGGCCCTGCCCATCTGCTGGCAGCCTGGCTCCCACCACCACAGCTCCCCCATGCTGACGGCAGTGCAGGCCCCACTTGCATTCGCTGACAGGGTGGAGCTATTGGGGCTGGCACCAGCAGTGAATGCAAGCAGGGCCAGCGCTGTCAGTGGATGCAAGTGGCAGCTGCTGCCCTGATCACTCATCAGGAGCAGGGGGAGATGGAGATGCCCTCAGGGGCAATTGGGGCCAGCAGTCGCTGCTCGCACCTGCTGATGGCAACTAGCAATCAGGACTGGGGCTGGCGCCAGCAGTGGGTACAAACAGGCTGGTGCTGGCAGTGGGTGTGAGTGCCAGGCAGGACCATAGTGCGTGAACAAAGAGTTTTCAGTAACCACCAGAGGCTCACCCCAATGTCAGCAACTGGTGCCTCGCCTTGGTCTGATGCCCACCCCGCTCACCTGCTCCACCATCCCAACACAGCTGATGCCTGTCATGTTTTGAGTGTGCCCACTGGTGGTCAGCACATGTCATAGCAACCAGTTGTTCAGTTGTTCTGCCGTTTAATCTATTTGCATATTAGGGTTTTATATAGAGAGATTGCATTTATAAATACATTACTTGTTTATAAATTGCATAATTCAGGGGTAAAAAAAATGAGACTGAAAAGGAATCCAGATTTTTTTTTATGAAGCAAATAATCCTCTCTGCTTATCTTTGCTGCAAATCTGTATTTTTATATGCAGCACGGGGTCTGCTTATGATGTTTGTATGCAATACTCAGCACAGGGAGACTTGGTTGAAGCCAAGCTCTCTTTGCAACTTCATAGAAGTTGGAAATGTTAGTTATTGATGGCGTGATGTGAGGGCACCTAAGTGCCTGAGGCCCAGAGCTGCTCTTGAGGTATTGTGCCCAGGTGGGCCCATCAGCACTGAATAGATAATGAGGAGATAAACACTAGTTGGGGCCTATTGCTGGGCCCTGTGGCACTCACAGCGTAGGGAAAATGGATATCTTATTAGCAGAAAGGATTGCCATCTGTCTTTTCTCTACAGCAGAACAGAGCAGAGCCCCTGATGATTGTTGTCAATTAGACCGATTTAAACCATCGGCAAAGACAGCCTGTATGCACTCCATGCAGCTGGATTTTAAATTCTGGGGTGCCAGGGTTAATGTTAGAAGCAGTGTCCAGCATAGCACTTCATGTTCTTAAAGAAAGGGAAGAATCAACTAAAGATTTAACAAAATGAGATTTTTTTTCTATTGTCCAGTCAATTGTCCAGGGGCAAGCCAGATCCAGCCCATGGCCTGTTTTTGTGCAACATGTGAACTAAGAATGGTCTTTGCCTACTTAAGCGTTTGTAAAAGGAAAGGATAAATATGCCCAAAAGCCTAAAATATTTATTATCTAGTGCTCTATGAAAAACGGATGCTGATCCCTCGCCTAAAGAGTTTGAAATATTCCAGGTTTATAAAGGCAACATATAAGGGTGATTCACTTTTTCACTTGTGATCTGATTCTATGGCAACCATGTCTGTGTTAACAAAGCTTAAAGGGCATTATTTAAGGATAAATATAGGGTGTCCCCCAGAAATGTATACTCATTTTAATAGCTGTTAGCTCAATTTTGAAAATGAAATGTATTTTAATAAACAATGCCGTTATAATTATTCAAAGTGTGTGTATACATTTTCAGGACACCCTATATAATCACGTCAATATTAGTTCTTGGGGAAGGCCTAGGGTGGGGTGGGAGTTGGGTGGAAGGGGGCAAAAAGGGAGAAAATGGGAGACATCTGTAACATTGTAACATATATATATATATATATATATATATATATATATATATATATATATATATAATTGCATCTTGTAGACTCCACCTGGGTTATGCCAGGAACAGGATCTCTAGTTGGTCTAGAAGTTGCTCTATGTCACCTCCCTCTGCAAATGCCACCTGTCCCTTCTTCGCCCCAGCTCACCTGCTTGCTCTTCCTCCCTGCTCTCCCCTCTCCTCTGGCCTGAAAGGGTTGGCCAGGTCCAGCTTAGAAGGGCTGCTGAGAGATCTTCACTTTATTCTGCACATACCTCCCGGAAAAAGCAGACCCGGATTAGACCCTGAAGTATGAGCACGCTCGGGGAGGGCGTGGGCAAAGGCCCAGGAGTGTGAGGGCCTGTCTTATGCAATGTCCTGCCCGGGCTGGAGGATTTAGTAGTATCATCAATGTGGCCAGTTTGGGGGGAATTTTAAGGGGTGTGGGATTCCAAATCCAGTGGGTCTGTTAGGAGTCACTGCTGTTTATTTTTAAAAGAAGCAGTAGGTGTCTATGTGTTGGAAGGCAGTGAAATGATATTGGCTGTAGTTAAACCCTGACTTGGTGGAGGGCATGGAGCTAACTAAGTACATTACATGGGACCATTTCATTTAATTCAACCAGTTGTTGGGAAGGTATCATCATCCCCAGTTTTCAAAGGAGAGTTAGGGTTCGAGAGGTTCCAGTAGCTTCCACAAGGTTCTGAAGTTAGTAAGAGGCAGGGCCAGGGTGGGCTAGCTAGCAGCCCAAACTCTTGCCTCCTGTGCTCCTGAAACAAGCTGAAGGTAAGACGTTCTAACAAACAGAAAAGAGTCAAAAGCTGCAAAAAGCCTGTCTTTCAGGAATGACCACTTTGGGTGACAATCTTTAGTCAACCCTTCTATGCCTTTGCAAAGCAATATGCATGCAATTTACATGACCCAGGGCTATATTGCATAAACCTGTGCCTACAATTTATACACAAATGGCACTGTTACTCTATACCCTAACTTTTCCCCACTTACAAGGCATCTTCTCATCTTAATTGGTGCGTGTACAGTGTTTCTCTTAGTGACAGGAATATTACTCCCTGCAGGTTCTTGAGCAGGAAAATTCTTTTTTTTTTTTAACTATTTTACCCGAGCCTCACGCTTTCTCTCTCTCTTTGCAGCATGCCCTTGATGCTGACAACGCAGGGGTGAGTCCCATAGGAAACTCCTCCAACAACAGCAGTCACTGGGACCTCGGAAGTGCCTTTTTCTTTGCTGGAACTGTCATCACCACCATAGGTAACCCGTTTGCTTGCCAACCTCGCTTCCTCTGCAGGCCATTCTGAGGAATGGCGCTTGTCAAACTTCTGTCCTCACAGAATACGTGGCAGCTTAAGGCTTCAAGGAGGCTTATGAAACACTGTCACATCCATGCAGTGGTCGTCGTGGCTTTCAATAAAAGGCCAGGTAGCTTAGTCGGTTAGTGTCCTGGTGATAGTCAAGTTTTCAGTTCAGTGGCCAGTCAGGGCCCATACAAGAATCAACCAATGAATGCATAAGTGGAAGGGGGGGGGGGGGAATCTCTCTCTCTCTCTCTTTCTCTCTCTCTCTCTCTCTCTCTCTCTCTCTCTCTCTCTCTCTCTCTCTCTCTTAAAATCATTTTAAAAAATAGATAAATAAACCAGCCTGGCCAGCATGGCTCAGTAGTTGAGTGTCGACCTATGCACCGGAAGTCATGGGTTTGATTCCAGGGCAGGGCACATCCCCAGGCTGTGGGCTCAATCTCCAGTGTGGGGTGTACAGGAGGCAGCTGATCATGTTTCTATCTCTGTCTCCCTCTCCCTTCCTCTCTGAAATCAATAAAAATATATTTAAAAAAAAAAAACGAAAAAAAAAAAAAAAACGAAAAAAAAAAAAAAAACACAGTGGGAGACTCAGGAGCCTTTAGTTTGAAAGGATCTCATGACAAGGTTCGAGTGAAAAAATCCAAATATGAATCATGAATCAAGCAGTTGAACTCAGACTGCTCAGTTGTGCTCAAATTCCTTTTTAAAAATTGTACTTTTTATTAACGGTTTATATGAAAGACCCATATAAATGTTCTAGAAAGTTTGTTTATGAAAAACAGCAGATTTTCGCCTCCGCAGGACAACCACTTTATTCTCTTTTGCTCGGTTGTTTCGATATTTACCTCCATGACTCTGACTCGTGTAGCCACTTCCTGAATGTTCAGGTTTAGGGATTATGTCTTGACTTCCTGTGGTGGAAGGTGAGGAGTTGGTTCTCTTTCATCCACTCCGCTGGAGATGGCTCTTTTCCCATCCTCCTGTCCTCCCACTGTCATTTAATTAGATCAAAAGTGAACATTTGCATTTCTTGGACTAGATAAGTGCTCTTCACAACTGATCATATGGTGATCTATAATTACTTCTTTCCTGCAGCAATTTTTGTTGTATAATATTTGTGTGTCTCTTTTCTGATACTTGGGGAGTTTTGTATTTTTATCTTAGGGATCAACTTTATAATTATAGTAATATGTAACAACTTAGTGTTCTAATCTTTAAGCAATACCTAATACCTCCCTATTATGGACAATGACATCGCCCTCTGGATACCATCCTTTTACTGTTTACTTTTAAATGATTAAATATACTTCAGCTGATTTTTCCTTTTTAGATAATGTCCCTTGGTTCTCAGCTATAATATTACGTAAACTTAGCATCCTGCTCCTTTCCTTCTTCCGCTATCTATTATTACTCTCTGTGTCATTCTATAACATCAGGGTATATCATTTACATTCTGGTCTGTTCTCCTGATACAGTTATTTTAGTTGTAGTTCTCAGTTAAATGTCATCAGTATTCATCTTGGGTCTTTTTGCCATGGTTTCCCTCATCCTCACCTGATTGGCTATAATTCATCTTCAAATAGTTGCCTTAAGAATGGCTCATAGGAGTAATATTCCCTAGGGTGTTGTGCTACTCAAAATAACTTGCCCCTTGAATGGCAGTTTGGCTGGAAATGATATCCTTGGTTCACATGTTTTTCAAAGGTGTGGTAGGTGGTTTCATTCTCAACTGATGTTTATGCTGTTGTGGAGCCCAATATTTTCCCCTTTTGTAAGTAACTTGATGTTTTTCCCAGTTAAGCAAAAGATTATGTCTTTATCTTTCACCTGATAACACCACTAGGTTTTGTTCCTTTTATTTTAGAAAAGTTTTCTTGATTGTCATTGCTAAACGTTTTCTCTGTTGTATGGTTTTTAGCTCTGTCCTTTGGGGATTCCAACTCCACATATATTATCACTTTTCTGCCTGTATTTTATGTCTGTAATTTTCCTCTGTGCCTTTTCAATGCTTCAGATTTGGTTTTCATTTTGGTAATTTTGTCTTCTCTATCCCTTTTCTGTGTGTTCTTCACAGTGCCTATTCTGCCATCTGTTCCTTCCAATTTTATTTTCATTTCATGATCATTAGTGGATTTTTTTCCTTCCTATTCCCTTCCTGAATTCCATTAGCTCCCATTTCATCTTCACTAGGTACCCCGCTACTATTTTCCTCATTTCTTGCCTTGCTGCTTTGTGGTTTCTCTGTGGAAATGCTCAGAGGCAATGACTTCACAGTTTGTTACAATTTTGTCGGGTTGGGGCGACATTTTTCTACTGAATGTCTTCCATTCTTTGGTAAGTTTTGCTGCTCTTTTCACATTCTTTTTAAAAGGGGAAGTTTAATATTTATCCTGGGCCAGGTTTTTTTGTGTATTTTTTTTTAAATACTTGACACCAAACAAACTGGATCTTCCTGTATCAGCTATCTGCTGAATCTTAAATGGGGCTGGAGAGAGGCAAGCAGGGAGAGTCAGGTAGCTAGCTGTTCAGGTATTACATCCCAAGACTCTCCTTCCTGCTGCCAAAGCGACGGCAGGCCCATCTGTGTTCTTCTATGAATAGTTCTGCCTCATCTGTTTTTTGGACCAGATTAAGCAGGGAGCGTTGCAGCGTGGGGGGTGGGGAGGCTTAAGCTGCTATCCCTCTTCAACCTATATCCACACCTGCTACAAACAAAGGCATCTCTTTCGAAGTTTAAGGTGACACCCTCGCCATCATAATTGAATGTTTGCTGGCACTTTCTGAGATTTGCAACTGATGGGTTCTTTTGCCATTCTCTGTATTTCTTCTCCTTATTTTCTTTTCCTAAATGGTGGAATTGCTAAATGATATCCCTCTCCCAGCTCTGCTGAAAATGAGTTGGATAGATATATTTCCCAATACAATAGTGAAGTCAATAAAAATTCTCATTCCAAAGGATGGGAAACGCACAGCAGTGCCCATTTATAGAAACAAAGGGCAGGCATTGGGAGGCCCCTCTGCCCTTGCAAGGGGAGGCTTCCTTCGTTAGCACCTGCAAGGAGCTCTCCCATCTGCTGCTCTCCGAGACCAGCTACACCATCAGGAGGCTCTTCTCTCCCTTGTTCTTCATGACCACATGTTAAGTAGGTGCCTACGGGTATGCCTCCCTTGGTGGGATGCACAGCTTTGATGATCCACATCTTCTTGGTGTACATTTAGGAGACTAAGGGTTGTTTTAGAGGCACAGCATTTTGTTTTTGTGTTTAGACCTAGCCTTTAGGACCTGTGTTGTCTCTACATTGGTGCAATCAAGAAAGTTATGTGCCATAAGAAAAGAAAATTGGGAATGAAAGAGAACTGTTCTTTTTAAAAAGAATCCTGATCTAATTATATGTCAGATTCACGCTTGCAAATCTGCTTATCTATTAAGATCAGATATTACAGATATTAGAGGTGTGTGTTACTCTAGGGTTTGGGTTCTGGAAGCCTTTTCAGACACTCCAGACAAGATTAGTCCACAACCTCATAGCCCCAGCAGGAAAAATTCAAATTTTCTTATTTTGTAAAAATGGCTAAATCAGGGTCTGTATGATGCATTGAAAAACGCGACAGCTGCACTGGTATGAGTCCTGATGGTACTTACCATGTCCACTTCTTAGGAGCCAGGGGCTTGGTTTCTTGAACAACTGTGTTCATTGGCCCACGAGACCTTATGTGATAAAGGAATGGTCTTTCTGAGAAACATTTGATATGTTACATTTCCTGCCTTTTTAATATGCTAATTCTAGAATCTAGATCTCTTCACGCATTGGGATTAGCCCAATAAGAACCTCAGTTGCTGGACTGTTACTTGACCTTTGGAGGAAATGACTTCCTTTCTTACTGGAGGTAAATCTGGAAAGAGATGGGCCCAAGACCCTGCCAGTCATTTTCTTCCTTTGATGAATTGCTATGCCTGGAATTCAGCTAAAGAAGCAGAGTAAGAAAGGGGGGATGTGAAAAACAGGCTTCTTTTCACATCTTTTGAGCTTTGGATGGAGCTATCTATGAAGTGTTACAAAATAAATGTTAAAACTCCTGTTTACCAGGCTCCATGCATTTCCTTTTCTGCCTAAGCCAGTCTGCATCGGGTTTTCTATTATCCGGGACTGAAAAATACTAACTAACACACATTCATGGGTCAGAGATCACAGAGGGCCAGACAGTATGTCTGACCTTGCTGGACACTGCAGTTGCCATCGCCTACCTCCTGGGGGCCACTTGCTCTAGATTTAAAGTCATAGACAGAGCATCCCATGGGATGAGCTTCTGGGTTGCTGTGCTTGTGTCCTGGCTGTGTGAAAAGGTACTGCCTCTATAGAGGAAGGCAGGATACCGTGTCATACCAAGGCACAGGCTTGGGACCTTTCCCCAAAATCTAAAGGAAGGTGGATGTTGAACAAGAAACAACTATAAAATCAACCCACACCATAAGCCTACCTCATTCTCATGGCTCAGTGTTAATGCTAGAGATTGGGTCCTTGTTCCATTCAATGAAAAAAGGCTATTTTGTCCCTCTTTCTCAATACATTGCAAAAGTAATGTATTGTAAGATGGCCACCATTTAGCTGGCTAAAAAATGGCTACATTTTAACTCCAAATGGGAGAATATTTATAAAGTCACACAGTTCGAGAATTCTAAAGAGAACTATAGTACAATGTTAGTAGAATAAATAGGTGAGGAAATAATGGGTTTTTTCATCATTCATCACATGTGGGGTAGCAAAGCTTCTAAGGAAAATCAGAACTTGCTGATCCTTTTATTTTTTCCTGGGAAATTTTTCACAATTTAGGAAGCAGGCAGGGGGAAGTTGGAGCTGAGGAGCTGTCTTTTCATTGTTTGTGAAGCACAAACATTCGCCTGCTTGCTTGAGTTCATCTACAACATATTACATGTTCCCCTATTACTAAGCTGCTCTGAAAAACAATCTTTGGTGAGTCCCATGGCTTCTACCATCCACACTATTGTTGGAGGCTGAAGCTGTTTCTTCCTTTAGCATCACCATGAAAATTCTGTACTTGAGGTGTGGTGTTCATCGTTGGTTGTTTTCTTTGGAAAGATCCCCAAGGGATTGCCATCAAAGGTCATGGACCTTTTAAAGGCTCCCCAAATTGCTCTCCAGAAAGACTTTCATGGGCTGCATGAGGTTATGTACCTTTCAGACCCACAAAAACGTGTTCATCGCTTAGAATGTAGGCAGAGATAGGAGAAATAATAGATTCTTTTCTGAGAAGCAGCGATACTACTGATGCTACTCAGTATCAGAAGTCTTTTATCTGAATGGATCAAGGGCGCCTTTTTTTTTTTTTTTAGACAGCTTTTCTTATACTCAGACATACAGAAAGATTTATAAGGGGCCAAAGGGAACACACTTAGGCATTTTCCAAGCCAGGAGCCCCGCCGCGAGGAAGAATGGACTCAGCTCCGTCTTTGTTGAGGTTGCCCTGTGCCTGTCCCCTTTCTCAGTAACGAATGCTGATGTGAAAAAGCCCCACTGGCCCCTGAATGTGGACTCCTGGCTTGGTTATCTACCAAGATAACCCAGTAACTAGCTTTTCTAATCATGACACTCACTCTTGTTGCAGAGACTTCCTCATAAGCAATCACAAACAGAAGGGCCGCAGGTGATGGCATTCTGACCAGCAGCTCCCAAGGGCAACTGGAGTTTAGTATTTGAGGCCTTTTTGGATTGAGTCACCGGACTCTGCCCACAATCAGTGAGAGCCCGCAGTCAGGTTCCAGATGGCAGCCAGGAACTGTGTTACTTGCCTGGCAGCCTCATTTAAGAGCTGTGCCTGCCAAGGAACCTGCGCAGCTATTTCTAATTAACCAGCCCTCGAATGGGAGTTTAACCCATGCTTTTGGACATAGACATTGTGGCTTGAGCTCACTGAGCACTTGCTAGGTTCCAGGCTCTGTGCTCCACATGCCTTCTCATAACCTCTCATTAACCACGTGAGGCAGGTCTGTTGATTAGCCTCATTTTACTGATGGGAAGACTGAGGCCCAGAGACATTAAGTAACATGCCCAATATCTCACGATGAGGAAGCAATGGAGTTTAGTAGCTTCATTCAGCAGGACCAGCTACAGAATGTGTGGGGGCCTGTGCAAAATGAAAATGTGGTCCCCTTGCCCTGGCCGGTTTTTCTCAGTGGATAGAGCATTGACCTGTGGACGGAAAGGTCCCAGGTTCAATTTCAGTCAAGGGCCTGTACCTTGGTTGCAGGCACATCCCCAGTGGGCGGGGGGGGGGGGGGGGGTGCAAGAGGCAGCTGATTGGTGTTTCTCTCTCATTGATGTTTCTAACTCTCTATTCCTCTCCCTTCTTCTCTGTAAAAAAAAAAAAATCAGTAAAATGTATTTTTTAAAAAGAAAGAAAGGAAATGTGATCCCCTTGCTAAGAAATGAGTAAGAATGTCAAAATGGTAGCAGCAGAGCACTACCACAGCATGGGGCCCTTCTAAATGGGGCTTCTGATTGCACAGGTTGCACACCCATCAAGCCAGCCCTATGCGCAAAGACATTCTGGTTTTAGAACACACATTGGCACCACACACCAGGCCTGCATAGCATGTGGTTTGGCAAAGATGTGATTTTGGTACGTAAATAGCAAATGGGAGCATCATCTGTGTGCTCCTGGGGCAAACGTCCTCCCTAAACATCAGCCTTCTCTTCATGGGACTGTTTCCTAACTGGGGGTCCATGGCGCTAGGCCCCACCTTGGTCCTTCTCACACATCGCAAACTGTCCTCACTGGGCTCCTCTCCTTTGAAAGTCACCAGAAGCCCGTTGATGGAGTAGCTCCTTGGATGTCTTTTGTTTTACTTAAATCCAGTTCCAGTCTTCTGGGCTCGGTCTGTCTCATTGATTGCTCCTCTGGTGCTGTGTATCCCCTTTCATTTCCCAGCTTTCACAGCCCCTGGCTACACCAAGAGGTGCCTGCACCCCAAATCCAGCCATGGGACTGCCCAGGTCAGTGAGCCAGCCCCCGAGGTACATGTTGGCCCATGCCCTGGACGCTGTGGGAGAACAGCAGAGCTTCCGGAGGGGAAGTAGGAGCCAACCATCTGTTTTCTCCCGGGGCTTCATTTTCCTGGAGACATATGGCTGATAAGTGATTTCTTTCTACTGGAAACCACGAGCTGATAATCGCTAATGCTTACTGAGCACCTCCTGTGCTTCGGGCTTCACATACACATATTTAATCTTCACAGGCAACTCATTTCACCTTCAGCCGCTGTGAGGTGAGTGCTATCAAGTAGCCGCACTTCTCAAATGAGGAGCAGGAGGCAGAAAGGTTAGGGAGGTTGCCAACCTCCGAGAGTTAATAAGCGGAAGAACCAAACAAGAATGCACATTATTTCTAATTCTAGAGCCTACGTACAGCCCTCAAGCCTCCCTTCAAAGTACTCCCAAGCATTCTGGAAGGCTGGGCAGGACAGTCTAACAGGCCGGGTAGAACTGGAGCCAAGAATCCAGGAATGTGGGCCTCCTATCACCTCAAAGTTCCAAAATGGAAGTTCTAGGATTTGCCTAGAGTCACAGTGTTGACGGTCAAGCTACAGCAGTTGCTCCCAGATAGTTCATTGGAGGCAGGGGACCGAAATGCAAACGCGCACACCCGTGCACAAAGTATAGCGTCACTCAGGAATGGAGATTACTGTGTGTCTGATATGGTTCTATGCCCTTAAATATGCTTAGAGATATATTTAAATATCACTTCACTAGTGCCCTAACCTAAGAACTTTGCTTTACTTTTATTTTAGTGTTCCTGTCTGTGAAACATTGAGTAAATGAGGAGCCAATGATGATAATACTACTTTGCATTGTTATGGTACTTGACACTTCATTGATATTTCCCCCTATGTTGTCCATGAATCCCTCCAAAACCAGGGTTTGCTGTGACTAAGTGAGTCTCAGGATAACTGGGTAGAGTGAGGTAAATTGGATCTGGAGCCTCTGTCTTCTTACTTCTATCTCTCATGATGACCCTGGATGACCCCTAACCCAGGGGTGGGGGTAGGTCCTCTTTGAGAGGAAGAAGAAGGGTGCACAGCACTGGTCAGGGCTGCAGAGATGCATAGTCAGCAGGTTCTAAGCCTACGTTTGTTTGCTGGTGTTTGCAGTATATTTTTTTCCAAGTTATTAGACTTAAAGAAAATCTAGATCCCCTGATAGTAATCAGGCAATTATGAGACAGCCAAGCAAGAGTATGAATGTTTCCAGAAGGTGCTAGAATGTTTCCAAGAGGGAACCTTAAACCTGCATAATGTGAAACTGTATAGGCACATTTGTTCCCTCTCCAAGAGGGATATGTTATGTAAATTGGATCATTGTAGAGGGGGATGCTGAGAAAAAGGATTGTGTCCAAGCACCAGAAAAAAGTTCCAAGGGTTGATTGTTGTTGATTCTTTTTGCCATTAAATTAAAATGGTGGTGAGTCAAAGAAATAGAGATTTAGGAGGCTTGGCTGAACACTCCCTGATGAAACAGCAACTGTGATTTAGATGCTTGTGATAAGAGGTTTGAATGAATCCGAGTGGAAAGTTGAAAAGGAAAATAGCAAGGTGACTCATTGCTCAAGGGCGGAAAGCACCAGTGAGCTCACCACATGCATAGGATGAGGATTGATGGACCAATCATCAATGCCGTTCTTTTCTGCGCTGCACCCACAACATGCTGATAACCATGAACCCAATAACTCACCCACTGACGGCTTTAGAAACAGACCTCACATGAGTCACCCCGATATTGGAGGATAGTTAGGTGACTACCTAGATAATCATTGACATGAAAACGAATAACAAATGATCTAGACCCATTTCCATACAAACTGTGCTACTGCCATAAGCCATTTCCTTCCAACACCACTGTCTTTAGTCCCATCCATATGGAATAAGGACACTATTCACTGTACCTCAGGTACTTACTGGTATGTAATTGCAGCAGTCTTAAGATGTTGGTGTTTTCAAAGCATTATTTGACAAACATACTAGCAGACCTGGTTATAAAGGGTTTCTTTTATCTATAAACATCCATTCCACCAGCACACATTTATTTAGCACTTGGCATCCCCTGGTGCAAGAAGTGGGTGGGAGGATAGGCCAGATTCAGAGGTGATGCAGGGTTCCCAGTAGAGAGAAGAGCCACTGTCCTTTCCCAACCCTTGACTGTTTTCAGGCTTCCTGAGATAGGGCTGTGTGGTCCCTGGGTCCTTTTCTGAATTTGTACTAGACCTCATGGCCTCCTTAGTGGGAGCACCCATGACCCTGAGAAGGCAAGTGTTGAAGGCAGCCAGTCTGGAGGGGCTCATTTCCAATCTAAAACTGACAATGGCGAACCCTTCTTAGGTGTGCAAATGTTCCTAGACCAGACAGGCCCAGAAGGTTTGGAGTTTCTAGAATGGATACTTCCGTTTTCCATTAGAAATGCAATTTTGGGTGACCATCCATTTCCTAAAAAGTAATCTAACTTAACACATTAGACCCCAGAAACCTGGATCTCCTTAAAACTGTTGATAACGAAGAAGGAAAGGAAGCAATGGGACAGTGTTCTGAAGTGTACGGGCCTTGAAAATGAGGTGCTACTCCTTAAAGTTCATCACATTGGAGGAGGGGATGCAGGAAGGTTCAAAAGGGTCTGTAGGGTCTTTGGTTCTGTACTCTAATTTCTCTGCTACCTCACCACTCTCCCTCTCTCTTTTTAATATCTCTCACCAGGGTATGGGAATATTGCTCCGAGCACTGAAGGAGGCAAAATCTTTTGTATTTTATATGCCATCTTTGGAATTCCACTCTTTGGTTTCTTATTGGCTGGAATTGGAGACCAACTTGGAACCATCTTTGGGAAAAGCATTGCAAGAGTGGAGAAGGTCTTTCGAGTGAGTACTGCCTCTATGTCCACCCTGACCTCGGAGATCCCATTGGCTTTAGCCCGGCGGGATCCGGGAGGGATCATCAGGGTCTTGTCATATCATTACCACTTTTAAGAGAACAGTCCGATGTTATGATCACATTTCCTATGTGGCTGATGGCAGTCATGGGCACTGTGCCGAAACTCTTCTCTTCGGTAGTTACTTTCTGTAGAGAGGTATCTCTGGAACCACAACACAGAGGGTTAAGTATGGATTTGCCAGCACAGACTTTGTGAAGATGTGAAGCACACTCCGTTTCTTCTTAAAGATGAAGATGATTCCTTAGTGTATTTGCAATGAAGTAGAAAACTGTAAATTCATCCATTTTGTTTTTGGAATTTCTTTCTTCCATTATTGGCCAGCTTGGTGTCTTCAGGATGATCCTGGCTTCTGGGATCTCTTCCAGAGTCTGTCTTTTCTGGGCACCTTTGTATCTGTCTCCCCGTGGCCCCTCCCTCTTTCTCCTTCCACTGCTGCAATAGGACACTAAGGCGCTGATGACTGTTATGGTGTTGGTGGTTTGTTTGTTTTTTCCTTTTAAGAATACTTACCTTTAAACAAGGGACAAAAGTCTCAACTCAAGCAAAATTTATTTACTAAATATGGCATTCCTGGCATCAAAGACAGTCATGTGACATAGATGTGATTGGACTGAGATTCCCAAGGCCCTTTAACGCACACCTATTCGTATGTTTTTACAGAGTACCTGCTTTGCTTTGGTATGGGGTCATTTCTGCTCTTTTTCTCATTATTGACCTAATGTTCAAGTGTTCCAAACCTCCACTGGGGAATTTTCTTCACGACTTAATATTTTAAAATGACATTTTGAGATCTTTTTCAGAATCTAGTAATGATGGGAAAGGTAGGTCAGTGGATAGCTTTAAGTCTGAACTTGTTTTTCCCTCTGAGACAAACAATCATGACCAGCTTTTCTTTAGAAGCATACCGGGAGTCCCCTACTTTAGTTTTGTGAGAACAGTTCCAGTTTGTCAGAGTGGATGAATAAGGCTTATATACCAGGATCACCTTTATATAAGCTCAGTGATCCTGAGTGAGCTGCCTCGGGTTACTCCTTAGCAAAAGGGGATAGAATTCTAATCTGTGTTATAATGTTTGGTGATGATTAAATGAATTAATGTATGGAAAAGAGCCTGGCATGAGGCCAGACACGTAGAGTTCAGAGCTATGTGTCTATCAGCCGCCCATTCACATGCCATCCGAGCAGCTCAACAGCATGTGGGTTTTTCCCGGAATGCCCCACAACCTTTGCTCCCTAAGTGCGGGCTAGTCAGCCAGCCTCGTTAGTGCATCCACCCGGCTCAGTGGTCACCATGGAAACCGCCAGAGCTCAGTTCCTCTGCTTCTCAGAGGTTCAGGTCTTCCTAAACCAGACAGGGCAACCCTGGCTCCAGGAACAGATCTCAGAGGAGCCCTTAAAAAGTAAACCTGGTGGAGCAGACACTCAGACGAACAGGATTCAAATGGAGATTCAGCATTTTTATATTTAAGTAATTTTTCTAGATCATGGTGTCTTTATTTGTAAAACAACTGATTTAGACTACGAGCTTTTGAAATTCTTTTATATAAAAAAAAAAATGAGGGACTGCATTCTAATCGAGGAAAGAGGTTGCATTCATTTGATGACACAGCTACCAAATCCGGGGACTGTGTTTCCCCCTAATGCATTTTGAACTTCAAGCAGAGGACTGCTCTCCTTCCCCTGAAAGCTGCCTCTCCGTGCTTAGTTCAACAGGCGCTGGGACAGCCTCAAAAATCTCACATTTCATTTTTATGCTGATGCCACTCCGTTCCAGGAAGCTGAGGGTGGCGTATCATGGAATTGGCAGCATACAAGGTAGGCATTTGCACCCCAGTGGAGGGCGCTGTTGGCAGGAATGATGAGTTCCAGGAGCCATAGAAGGGCACTTCCTGGAGATACAGACAGCAATTTGCTAGAAATTGCGCTAGAAAACCTCCCGGCTCCTGCCATTCATTTAAACTACATCTAAAAGGCCAGTTACTCTTAGGTGATTATTTGAGGACTGAAAACAACAAAACTCCGGCTGGGGATTTCTGGTTCCCATGGAGTAAGCTCATTGCTCTTGTTCTCTCACCTGCTCAGTGACTGTTAAGCCTTTCCCTTCATCTGTTGTGGTTTTTTGGGCAATTGATAGAGAGGATTTTTCCCGGAGTAAAGATAAAATATAAAGTCAGCCTTCCAGCTGCCTGTATTCTGAAGCGACAAGATTCGGGGCCTTCTCCCACATCTGAGCCTCATGTGGCAGCGTTGCTGAGGGTGTCTGTATTATGTAGGAATGCTTCTGGCTACAGAGCGACAAAATGCTTGGGGTTAGCACGGGGTGAATAAAAGAAAACACCTTTTTGTCCTCTGAAGCTTAGAACTAATAATTGAGAACTAAACATGGAAATAAGCATAGGGAGATTAAAGTGTCCACTTTATTGCTGATAAGCTCGTCAGTGGTTGTAGCTTTAGCTTTGGTGATGGAGGGACTTTTCACTATCATACCCGTCACTGGATTTTTATTGCTGAACAGCAAACGATCGGCAATCAGAGGCTTAATAAAGCAGCACCCACTTGGTTTATTATGTCATAGTTCTGGGGCAGACTGCGTCCCTGGGATGAGCTAAATTTGAATTCTGTTGGCAAAGAAGTTTGGGGGAAATAAATGGCAGCATGGGCCACAGGGGTCACAGCCACTAGCCACACAGGCCACTTACTGGGAAGCTGTCCTCCTTCCATTTGTCGTAAACCAGGTAACCTTTAGGGTCCTTGAATCACTTAGGGGAGACTGGGTTGTGCTATGGTAACAAATAACCCTCTGCCAGGGTCTGCTGTGGCCCAGGCAGCTCTCAAGGCTTTAATGGGTTTGCAGGAGAGGAGGGGTTGGGGAGAGGAGCAGCTAGGCATTGCACGCTGGCTCTTAAGGACTTTGGCCTCCAGAACTAGGCATATGGACCCACCCAACTGCAAAGGGGGTGCTGAAAGGTTTGGTTTGCTCTCCAGGAAGGGGGCGGAGTGGGAAATTGGTGAGCACTAGTCATCTCCTGTGCCTGTCCCCTGGGACTATTCCTGGGCTCCCTAGCATTTAGAACAGAGGACCTGTAGAGGGCTCTTAGGGGAACGTGACTCATCCCACACCCAAAGATTGGAGCCTGCGGGTTGCTCAGTGACTTGCCTGAGCAACACAGCGAGTTGGGGACACAGTCTGGACCCCGACCAGTAATCCTGCCTCCTCATCCAGGTGGGCCACTGATACTTACTGTCAGAGGTATGAGCCCACGCCACGAGTCCAATGTGGAGTTTAGGTGTATGTGAATATACCATTTGAATTCCTAGAGATGATTTTTGAGTATTTATGTCATACACAGTAAAAATAATTGCACAGGTTTCCAAGTGCAATCTGGGCAGTTGGCGGGTGAGGGATAATGATTTGGGATTCCGCAGGGTTGATCTTGGGTCTCAAAGCAGATTTGGGGAGTGAGGAGCCTCTGTGTCTCCTGCTGCGGGCTGGCTCCTTTGTGGGGCCAGGCCAACTGTCACTGGAGAGGATGCTGCAGGGAAACTGGTCTGATTTTGGACTGGATCCCATTTCCTTGCTCTGAGCTGGACTTCGGCCTCTGGTGGGAAGCAGCTGCCAGTTTTTCCTTGGCGGGTCAGCGGGCTTTCTGATTTTACCTCTGTAACTAAGGGACTCTTTTTTCTTCCTTGGCCTTTTCTCCTAAGGACGCCACAGAAATGTTCATTTGCCTCTTAAGCCAAAGGAGCCAGGGTGTAGCTGACACATAATCACACATTAGGCTTGGTTTATTGGTGCCACGATTCCCTGCGGACTTCAGAGCCTGCCAAGTGCTTAAGACTTAAGACTGGGTGACTACGATCTCAATCTGCTAATGATGCTCAATTAATGGGCTAGTCAATCACTGTGGATTGCAGGAAGGGGCTGGTGGAGGGAGCCAAGGACTCCTGGAGGCCTCTGCCACGGGCCTGTCGTGAGTGGAGGAGAGATTTGAAGGACACATTTGCAGGAAGATTCTGTTCCTCACAAGGAGTCTTGAGCTAGCTTGGGGTTCACTTTAAGAGATTATTATTTCAGGAAGATCAAAGCCCTTGTTTTCAGCTCTATGGATACAAAGGTCCAGTCCTAATAGCAGAGGACATGCTCCCTGAGGAATTAGTTATGCACATCAGGGCTGTGCCTAAACAAGTGTCGGGGGAAGCCAGGTGGTGGGGCTGCGAGTGCCCCAGAAAGTGTGTGGAACTTCTGGGAAGTCACTCCTAAACCTCTGTGTGTCGAGAGTTTTGCAGGGAGACTCGGATTTGTCACTTGTCCAAGAGGATTTGACTGAGGTCAGACTGAATACTATGGCACCTCTGTCTCAGAGGCTAGAGATAAAATGCAAATCTGCTTCGGGGTTTTAGTCTATGCCAGACTCTGGCTGTGGGCTTTGCTGAGAGTAAGCTGTGCAGCAATCCTCTCAGAAAGGCCATGTCACCCTCTTTGTTGTATGAGACCAGGAGGTGCACATTGACCAAGGTCACCCAGGCCATAAGGAACAGAGCGAGGGTTTTCAAGCCAGACTGAGTCTTTCCGCTCTCCTTCCTTCCATCTTTCTCTTGTGAGGCAGGGGTAGCATCTGGTGACTCAGGAGAGTCTTTGTGAAAAGTTGGTATGATCTGGGACAGATAAAGATGAAAACACGTTCATATTGGCCCTGTGACATCAGGCCATACATTGAGTTGACCATAGCCTCCGATTCTTTCCTACACACCTGTTCTGTCTCCCAGTACTGGGTTGTTCTTGGCAAACATCTCTTTCTCGATGTTTCTACTCCTGGAGATCCATCTAGGATTTATTTGATTTAATTTTTTAGTTTTTTTGTTTGTTTATTTGTTTTTTGATATATCTGTATTAGTTTCAAAAAGGAAGGGAGAGGGAGAAAGAAAT